AAAAACAAAACCAAAAAACGATTTCCCGATTATATATATAATTAGCGGTCAAACGGCGAGCGCCTACTGATCGTCACTGTGAAGGCCAGTCGTCCAGTCATTACGAGGCGTCGGCAGCCCTACCGCCTGACAAATCCTACTCACACTTCGCCAGTAGTTACGAAACGCTTCCACTTTTAGACAGCGAAGACACCGGCGATGACCAGCGCTTTAACCGGTCCTCCATTGGCAGCGGCGCCGATGATATGGTTGTCGCCTATAAGCCGACGAAGGAACAGGAGCTGAGGGAACGTGTGGTGAACGGCGACCCCAGCGATGAGGACATGGATGAAGAGGACAACTACTTCGCTATCACACAAAAGGTAGAGTTGGGTGCGATGGCCGACATGTTCTTCGGCGCCATTGGTGTCAAACTGTTTTACGTGACGATTGCTATCTATTTGTACGGAGATTTGGCCATATATGCGGCCGCCATTAGTAAATCGCTCCGGGATGTTACCTGGTACGTGTGCCCGCATACCATACCCTTAACCATAAAGGTTTAATTATTACATCTCCTGCTCTATGCCTTTAGTTCATATGAACCGAAGAATTGTACGGCCAGTCTATCGCTGTCCGACCAGTGCTGGACAGGCATGGAGTCCATAAGCCGTCAAAACGCGTACCGCATATATCTGGCCGTAACGCTGCTATGTATCGGTCCCTTCGCCTTCTTCAACGTTCAGAAAACAAAGTATTTACAAATGTTGACAACACTTCTCCGATGGATAGGTATATAATTTGTCACTAATCTAAATGTTAACAATATTTATAATTTTACTATTAATTGCAATCATTATATGAAATGACTGATAAATATTCTCTATGTTTAATAATAGCCTTCATTTCGATGACAATCATTGCAATCATAGCCCTGTCGTCGGGCAAAGCCCGGGGCCGGCCCTCGTCATTGTCCATATCGGGCGTCCCGAACCTCTTCGGGGTCTGTGTCTACTCATTCATGTGTCACCACTCGTTACCATCGCTGGTCACTCCCATTAACGACAAGCGCCGCATATTTTCA